CGCATGATTGGTTCGCGGCGAAGTTCGGCTCGCGGTTCTGCTCGATAATGTGGACCCTCCTCATTACATGTGCTTATATACTGATATCCGCTATTGCAAAAAATTAAAAAAAAATCGATTGTTGTAATTTCTTTACAGATTTTTTCTCGTAGATTATTAAATGGTAGTTTCCATGTCACAGCAAATACAATTTTAGCATTTAGAAATAATTATTTTGTTACATTTTTTTTTATTATATTTGATACATACTGATTATTTTATAACATCTTTAAAATATTAAACATGGTTTCTTTGATTTTGATTTTATTTCTCAATGAAAAGATACTATATAAATGTATAAAATTAATAAAAATATATAAAAAGTATGTTTATGTATTCATATATCTGCATATTACATATTTTTATTAAAATTGTGGATTCCAAAATAAATTTCCAAATAAATTTCCAAATAGATTCTAAATTAATCAAAGAATTCATAGATTAAAACTCTTTCTGATTAAAATTATACATTGTGAATGAGGGAAATAATATAGAAATACACAAAAGAGCACATGAAACTGGGTCTTTGCACTCTACCGCCTTTTATTTTCGAGACAAGTGAAGCCAGGCGCTATAATGGCGTTTCCATAATCATATTCGTTTCCTCGAGTTGGTGAAAACGCTTTCGTGCAGTGAATGTATATCCATTCGCTTCTATACTGAAAGCTCTCCGAGAAGGAAAGCTTTAGAAAACCGGAAGTTCGTTATTCGCCCTTGACTGGATCGAACGAGAAGTTGTATTCTCGCGGCGTCCACGGTCAAAGATCATTGCCTCTCTCTCTCTCTCTCTCTCTCTCTCTCTCTAAATTATGCCCTAAATATTCTGTTATTTCTATTTTATGTCTGGATTTTATTAATTGTTGTATTGTCGCAGAACAATTCGTCTAGAGACAAGAACTGGAGGAAATTGTTCGGCCATTAGAATATATTGCTTGTCAATTGCAATGCATGTGTCATCTTCTTAGATCGACATATATAATAAACAATTCTAAATATATAATATACAAATGTAAAAATATAATAAAAAAATAAAAAAAAATAAAGATATTATAAAAATGTAATTCTCTTCAAATTAATAATTTAAAAATTTGTAATTAATATAAAAATATTATATTATTTAATTATATAATAAAAAAGTTAATACAGTTTAAATATTCTTAATTATTTTAAAAATTCCATCAAGTCATGTGAAGAACATTAAACGCTGCCCCTGAAGAAATACCTTGGAGATTACAGAGCTAGGTAGATCTTGAGATTTCGGTCCCGTGATCCTTGAGAGGATTTCTGATACACCGAAAATGGAACGACGTCCCAGTCTCGTAATCTCTGCGGGGTTTTCTTTCCCATCTACTATCAATCCCACTTTTTCTTTTCATACGTCTGCGGATAGGCTTTGTCTCGATGGCGTGTGCTCGGTTTCCAAAGGGGGTATAAATTGCCTAAAGATACGATCCTTGAAGCGAATAGGAAAGACCTAGTTTTGCTGTTAACCGAGACTTAGATAAAGTAAAAAAAAAAGAACAAAGTGAGACAGCGAGCTTTGAGCAAAATATTTATGAAGATTGCTGATTGTTAATACATATATGTTGAAAAAGTATTTCCAAAGTTTAGAAAAATTGAGTTTTAGGGAATTTTCGAGGATTTTTAATGCTCACTGTGTCCAAAACTGAGATTTTAATTTTACGTTCTGTGAAGAATTAATTTTAATCACTCCTGATTTAAATTAATTTGCATTTATTAATGTGTATGTGTATGTGTTCGTTAGCAATCAAAACAAACATTAATAGATATTATTAAGTTAATATTATCCGTATTATTTGTTAATATTGCTGTTAATATTATTGTTCTAATATTAAATGGATACAGATACAAACAATATATTAATTTTATCAATTTATTAATTTTTTACATTTCTCTTTCTCTCCCTCTCCCTCTCTCTGGCTCGTTCGTTCGAGATAAATTACATTTAAGAAAGCAGAAAAGGGGAGGACTTTAAGGGCGAAATTATATATAAATATTAATTAAATTTCTTATTTGTATGATTAACATTTTATCCGAGACATTCATTTTGGAATAACAATTTTGCATTTATTCATGTTTAACCTAGCCCACCACCTGCCAGCGATTGGATTGCTTTGGGCTGAAAAAATATAATATAGTATTATAATGTAAAAATATTTAAAATATTTTATGACAGTAAAATTATAATTTCATTAAAATGTTACACTAATTATAAAACAAATTCAACATTACGATATCATCACATATCAATGCTGAAGCTCTCTCTCTCTCTCTCTCTCTCTCTCTCTCTCTTTCATTTTTCAAATTAATGTAAAACCTATGATTTTATGTGTGTATTTTTAAAATCAACATATAAGTACTTCTGTAATTTCAGAATGCAACTTTCTAAAATTGTAGATTTCTTAATTTTTATAGTAGGTATAAATATCAGAGAGAGAGAGAGAGAGAGAGAGAGAGAGAGAGAGAGAGAGAGAGAAGTGCGTGTAAAAACAAAACATCAAATCGAGTTTAGAAAATTAAGAAATTAAGAGTACCTATAATAAACATCAACGTTATATATCGTTTTCCAAAAAATATTATTAAACTGATATTAATATAATAAAATTAAACTTAGAAGTAAACACACACATAATATCAATCGCTTACGTCGATAGCTTCTCCGGTAACTACGGTTGCCATCAATGCTGCAATCATCGCAAAGATGGTTATCAACTTTATAATCTTCATATCGAGCTCAAATTAAACAAGTTGCTGTATATTCACTTCACAGCGAAATGATTTTATATTCATTCGAAAACGTTTGACTTTATATATATAGGTATATTTATCAGATCGTGAATTATCTAATCTAACACATGAAAAAACAAATTATTACTTCTGCATGGAAAAATGTTGGTTTATTCAAAGACATCAAACACATTGTTGCACCTAATAATGCACATAAAACATGACTTTTATATTGAATACATGTTTTGATGAATGTGTCCGCTTTCATATATATATAAATTTATTTATTTCTTTATCAAAGTTCGTGCGGATTATATCAAACACGGAAGCAGTAATAATACATAGTTTTCTTAAACACACGATCGACAGACATGCAAAACACATAAACTTGTATATTCTTCGTGCACGAAATTTTTATCAAACAGTCGTTATAACTTTGATAGTTGTGTAGGGACCTTTTAACTCTATTTTAAGACATTCAAAACGGCATATTATTTTCCAATGCTTTTAAAATCCAAAATAGACTTGGAATAGTATAAGAACAGATTTGAAATATAAATTGCAATTATAGTTTAGGACTTTAAGATATAAAATTTAGTTTAGAACCAGCAAATATTGTAATATAATAACATATATTCTTTACAACACAATCTTATTTTCTGTTAAACTATACTCTTCATACATAATTTTCATATTTTTGATATTTTTCTTCTGTTTTTATAAAGATCTATAAAATGCTGGATACAGTATATATATAATGATAAAATCATTGGGAGCACTTTAGAATAAATAATCAACGATCTATACAAATAAAGGATATAGAAGGTTTGGGAAGTTTCTTGATTCACATACAGAAATCTCTCGATTATGATTGGCTGAATAGTCATGGAGTTGTTATATACCACAAATTTCGAGTATCGACGCCTTTATTCTATGGCTGCGTTCATAGTCTGATCTTATATTTAAGATTATCTTAACCCATTAACGACGAAGATCGTTGATTTTTTAACATGTTTTTGAACCTCATTTTCATGCCTGTAACAGAGGAATAAATGGATCAACGTTAGTGTTCCTTATATTTTTGGGTATGATCTAACAGAATAATTTGGGCTCAGAATAAAGAATTTCCAACTACAAAATTAAATATGGCGGCCTCTGTACAAAGAAATGAGAAAAAATTGTTTATTTTTAATGTTTATGATTTTTTTTCGGACTAAAATCGCGCAGAAATCTAGAATATCGCTCAATCATCGGTGCACAAAATTGTTGAAGTTCAACAGGAATTTTTTTGATATTTATGTTGATGACTTTTCCTTCCAAAATGGCGGCTAGAACATAAAAATATCCCCAAAATTAAAGTTTTTCGCTAATATCTTTTATTTATTATATTATTTGAAGCTTATTATGGGTTCAGATGATAATTATCGAGTCTCAACGACGGTTGACGCAATGATCAATTTTCAAAATGGCGGGTCCGATATGGCGGCCCCAAAGTGGCTAAGACTTAGTTATTTCTTGTATTTTTCGACGAATTTTTTATTTCTATGATCATCTTATAGGTAGAAATCATAATTAGGAAAAGTCATCAACATGAATATCAAAAAAATTCCTGTTGAACTTCAACAATTTTGTGCCACCGATGGTTGAGCGATATTCCAGATTTCTGCGCGATTTCAGTCCGAAAAAAAATCATAAACATTAAAAATAAACAATTTTTTCTCATTTCTTTGTACAGAGGCCGCCATATTTAATTTTGTAGTTGAAAATTCTCTATTCTGCGCCCAAATTCTGTTAGAGCATACCCGAATATATAAGAAACACTAACGTTGATCCATTTATTCCTCTGTTACAGGCATGAAAATTAGGTTTAAAAACATGTTGAAAAATCAACAATTTTCGTCGTTAAGTACGATCTCAAGACGCCATACGTTATCTATTTCTCGCTTTTTTTGAGGAGGAGGCAGCCCCTTCTTTCTATTATACGCCTATGATTGTATATACTATTATACGTTTCTTAGTTCATTAGAATTTAAAAATGAAATGGAAAGAGAATAACAAGTTTATGTGTTTTTTTGCATCATATTTTGAAATATCTATCAAACTCTATGAAACCATTACTTTACAATTTACATTACATAATAATACATACAAAATGGAAACTAATTAAAATGCAATTGTATTAATCCTAGAATTCGTGATTTTGTTACGACAGAATGGCAATTAGATCATGTAGGAAAGATAGAAAATTAATTGGATATAAATGGCAAATAAAATTTATTATTTATATACATATATGTAATTAATGCTTTATTGATTCATTTTGATATCACAATTTTACAATTTTGCAATTATTTGTGTTCCATTATCCAAGTTTATTTTTTTGATAATGAATACTATTGTGTGCTGAAATATAAATGTACATTTATAAATAATTTATATCTAATAATTAAAATAGATTATGTTAACTTAGAATGCTGTTATATACTAATTTTAAAACAGTTATAATGATATTATACGAACAATTTACGCATTTTAAATTTAACATATGAATACTTCTATAATTTCAGAATACCTATAAGTTCGTAAAATAATAAATTTTCAATTTCTATAATATAAACATTTAAAAAAAAGAAAGAATGGTATGTTCCGTAACGTACCGAAACATATAGTTTAAGATTGAGTATCATCCATACATAAACAAATACTATATATTTTTTTAGAATAATCTATATATTTATTTCTTCATCAAAATTTGTATGAATTATATCAAAGGGAGAAAAGGTAATGCAGCTTCGATAAAGTTGATAATTTTTTTGAACACAAGAGACATTAAAAAAACAAACTTATACCTTCTTGGTGTGTGAAATTTTTATAAAACGGTAATTATAATGTTAATAGTTATATGCAATGTATTGCGATAGAAGTACATATTATTATATTTTGAAATACTATAAAGATATTATACTATAATATATATATTACAAGACAAAGACAATTAAGGTATGGGTGTATTCATCCTAGAATTTGTGATGTTACGATAAAATAAAAATTAGAGAATATAGAAAAGATAGAAAATTAAAAATAGTATTATATATAATACAATTAATATTTACCATTTATGTAGATTTATTGGCACATCCATTTTGGAATCACAATTTTATAATTATTCGCGTTTCAGATTTCAGTTTTATTTTCCTGCCAGTGATGCTAGTACTTTAGGCTAAAAAATATTGTATACATTTTTACATAAATTTATGATAATAAAAACATATTGTAATATATTTGACTAAAATGTGTTTACAATAATATTAAAATAATTATAACGATACTGTGACTGCGTTTCGATATTCACTGCCAATACTAAAAATCTATAATTTACATCACGTATAGTATAGATTTTCAGTACTGGCAGTGAATATCAAAACGCAGCTTAAGTTGTTGTTGCATTTCTCTCTCTCTCTCTCTCTCTCTCTCTCTCTCTCTCTCTCTTTCTCTCTCTCTCTCTCTCTCTCTCTCTCTCTCTCACTTTGTCTGATCTGTTCAAGGTATATGAATTCACGTATTTTAAATTTATAAAAATTTTTATAGTAATATTTGTATAATTTTATAAATTAAAGAAATTATGAATTACTTAGTTTTTATAATATAGATATAAAAAAAGAATGTGTATAGAAACATAATTCATCGAGTATCTAAAATTAAGATTATTCAAATAAAAATTTAATGTTACAAGACTTTTTAAGAGTTAAAATATTACTAAACTGGCATTAATATAATAAAATTAAATTTAAAAGTAAACATAATATCAATCGCTTACGCCGAGAGCTTTTTTGGTAATTACGGTTGTCATCAATGTTGCAATTATCGCAAAGATGGTTATTAACTTTACAATTTTCATATTTTGTAGCTTAAGTTAAACGAGTTGCTGTATATTAACTTCACACGAGTGTGATATTCTATATTAGTTCAAAAACGTATGACTTTATATATACATATATACGATATATCATATATTTATCAAAGATAGTGAATCACCTAATGCAGAAAAAACGATTTACCGCTTCCAGGAGTTTGTCAATTTATCAGTATTTGAATACATAAAACGAATCGTTATATCCAGTAATGCATAAAACATGAGTTTATATATTAAATGCAAGGTTTGACGGATGTATGTGAGATATATCCGCCACATATATCTATGTATAAATATTTTATTTCTTTATCAAAGTTCGTGTGGCTTATATCTAATTATACGGAAAAAGTAATAATATAACTTTGAAATGAATTAACAGTTCTTTGAACACATACACAAACACAATCGGTGATATTATACATATATTAGTTTAAAAAACGTATGATTTCATATATGTATAGTATATACATGCATAGGCATATTTGTCAAAGATCGTGAATCATCTAATGTGGAAAAACGAATTACTGCTTCCAGGAGTTTGTCAACTTATCATTATTCGAATACATAAAACACATCGTTATATCCAGTAATGCATATAACATGACTTCTATATTAAATACAAGATTTAACGGATGTATGTGAGAGATATCCGCTATACACATATCTATGTATAAATATTTGTTTCTTTATCAAAGTTCGTGTGGATTATATCTAATACGGAAATAATAAAAATAAAACTTTGAAATAAATTAACAGTTTCTTGAATACACAATCGAGAGCAAAACACATAAACTTGTACTTTCTCAGAGTGTTAAACATGTCGTTATAATTTTAATACAATGCGACAGAAGTCTCTGACTGTTCTTACTATTTTTAGCAACTAAGAATCTACATTTGAAGCGGCACATTCTTTGTTAATGCTTTCAAAATCTAAGACAGTTTGGCAATAATATACGAACACAGATTTAAAATATCGATTGCAATTGTAGATTAATATGTCAAATTTCTTGGTAATAATTTTATCTTACCTTTCTTTTAAATTGTACATGGAGTGGCGCACATAAAACCGGCACAAAATACAGAGTAACAAAAAACTATTTGGAGCTAGTTTTATGCGTGCTATCTCTGATGTAGCTTTCATATATAATCTTACCTTCTATATTTTTCTTTTATTTTTGCCAAAATATGTAAGATCTTTGATAGAATATATACATATAATTGATAAGAGTATGTGACGTGGTATTAAAATCATTATTAATACTTTAGTATGTCCATCAATCTGTTTCGCATAGTTTTTTCGTAGGAAAAGGATTTATATTTCTTTTTTTCCAAAAAAAAACATGTCTACTCTCCAATAGTTTTTCTTCGATAAAACTTTTACACACCGCATTTCAATGATATTTTGATATTGCATACATTACATTTTTCTCAGTACATATTATGCTGAGTATAAAATGTAGACTATTCCATCGGTAAGGTGTCCTTTCAAATGCGGCTCGGAAATATGAGACAGCGCTATCCGGTTGGCGAGAAAGGTGAAGAAAAAAATGAAACTTAGCCGAAATACGTGAATTTTCGCAGAGAGAAATATTGTAATTTGAAAAAAAAAAAACAAAAAAAATAGAGGGTTCTCTCTTTCTATTATTCTGATACTTGACACGTTTTAGTGAGAGTCTCAAGTAACCGAAGAAAAATAAAAAGAGCAAAAGAAAAAAAAACATATATTTACCGCAATTTATTACTTTTATTGTTGTTTATTATTATCACGTATTTTAGCTTTGTTATTTATTATTGTACGCCAAGAGAATAGTTTTTATCTCTTCGAAAGTTTCGAAGTAGTACGATCCTGAACAAGCTATCCGAAATCTCGTAACGGGGTCCACATGTTTCGGCGAGCGGATTACGGCGAATCACGTACACGACGTCACGAGAGACGTTATCCCACGGATAAGAACTATTCGAGTCTTGCCCTTTTAAGCGGGAAGGTGCAAGCCTTCAAGGCCAAAGACCGAAAATAGCTTTAAACGGCATTGCAACAACTTTGCTAGTCGAGACTTGATGGAAAAGTCGATAGGCACATTATTAATATATAATCTAAGCCTTTACAACTCTACGGCGACTAATGCCAATTTTTCGTTTTCTGCACGTTGTTTACTGCGTTTGCCTTCTTGTTTTTTTTTTCTAATTTGTTTATAACTGTATATGCCGTTTACTGTATAATTCATTCAATCAATATACTAGTTATAAATATATATATATATATATATATATATATATATACATATATATATATACATAAATTTTAAGTTAAAATTAGTATGTATATTTTAAGTAACTATTAGTCCTAAAAATAGAATAAAAGGACGTTATAATTCAAATGCATGATGAGTTTTTTCCAATTTATAAAGAAATAAAAGAGACAAAATATATTTCATAATTTAAAATATAGTTTTAAAAAATATTGTAATTAAAATAAAAATTTAAATTAAAAAGAATTGACATCTTTGTATCTTGAGTATTTAACATCATAAACACGCCAACACACATCCAATACACATCCATATATTATCTACTTTGTTGCACATCTAAAATCTAAAGCAAAAAAGAAATGACATTTTCTCTATTAGCAAATGATATTTATAACCCAAACCGAGCAAAAAGTAACATTTTGTAGAACTATTTCAAACGTTTCATAAACTCTTTCTATTCATCCCAATTTGTGGCATTTGATACCACGTATACGGTATTCGGTGTATGTGCGATTGATGGCAAAATGTAGAGGAGAAAAATAAAAGGGAATACTGTGGGCGATCTCATCGGAAGTCAGTTGGAATATCGAACCGAAAGGTAGCAGGGTCATTGGCGAACGTCCAGAATTGACGCGCGCGTGGTTCATATCTCGATGTGTGCACCCTCGTAATACGTAACAGGATCGAATTGTGTGTGTCAACACAGAACTATAGACGACTTTGAGATACGTGGTAGAAATTAGGTCATCTAGGAGTGAGATTTAACGTTAAATCGCTAATCACGTTGCTCTTTCGCAGATTTCCTCTCTCTCTCTCTCTCTCTCTCTCTCTCTCTCTCTAAAAACCAGAACGATATCTGAGTTTGGAAAGTTAAATATTTGGTCAAACATTTATCTAGTGTAAAGTTCATTAACTATGGTATAGTTATACTTATTAGGAAATATACTCTCACTAATAACAATCTCATTATACCTTAAGGCCTTTAAGCAATTCTTAGGCAATCCTTAGGTAATCATTAAGTTTTATTCATTTTATGATAGATAATAATGTATGTAATATTTATTTTTATAAAATAATTTCAAGCATGAAATTTTTATATCTACGTTTTATTTTGAGTGAATTTAAATTGATTTTATATTTATTGAATAATTTTTATCAACCATCAATGTATAAAACAGGAATATTCTCGGCTTTTTTCAATTTTAACTAAATATTCTTTAATTTTAAAGAATACTACGTACAATTACGCCTACACACATTCCGTCGATCGGATAAAATATTTTTGTCTCTATTAGACTGAGCTAATTGTTAAAAAAACTCAATTAACGAACGCTATTGGATGAAACCGCGAAGAGTCAGCCTCTCGAAACGAGTCAACATTGCAAGGGCGGATATTCCGTACTGGCATAAGAGTCATTACGAAATACGTTGTGGACTTGAACAGTGAAATTGTCTCGCGTTTTTTTTTTCTTCTCTGGTTCGGGAAGCTGCGGAAGAAGCCGCGCGGTAGTCCTTCTTTCACGCTTGCCAAGTCAACCTTCGTAATCGTAGCCATGATTACGAAACATTAAGGAACACTTTTCCTATCGAGAGGAAGAAAAGTAATAACACTCGATGGAACTTTTATCCGTTCCTGACCTCGTTGTGTGAATGCTTATTTCCTAAAAAGGAAGGATTTCGAACAAAACTTTCTTTCTCTCGTAAAAATTTTACGTGGATTACCATAATCTATACGTATTCTAAATAATTAAATAATTGTAAAATATATTCACAAAATTTTATTACATAAATAAAATTTATACATCTATTAATCCTATGTCGTATAAATTTATACAACAATTTTTGTACATATATTTTACCTTTCACACACATCCAGATTTCATTAAAACATAATTTTAGGTTTACAGCCTTAAAATTATAAAAGTATTAGGGATAAATGTTGGAACATATCATGAATTGCATGATCGGGCAATGATAATAGAAACGTAACGGAGATAAGAGATACGGAGGAACTCAAACGGAACTATACAGAAATGAAACGTCAATTTTACTTTATGCTTCTCAGTAATCAGGCCGTTCCACCCTATTTGCTCGTGACGCATTTCTTCGTTTTTCGTTTCCAATATTTCCGCATTTCATCCATCCCCTCGTCGACCATCTTTACACAGTGTAAATAAATTTCAATACCGGACTTTAATAAGAAAATACTCAACGTAATTTTAAATTGAATAAGTAGTAAAAACATAATATAAATAATAAAGATTGCGAATCGATAGATAGATAAATTATTATATTTCATTACAAAATGATTTTAAAATATTTGGCTAACGCTAAATTATTGTCATCTTAGAATTTAAAATAGCGTATCCTATTAATTGTAACAAAATACAGTATTACATTGCAGCATTGGAGAAAAATCTTTAATTAAAAAATTGGCAGGTAGAATCCGCGAAATCCTTCTTACACATTACCGTGGCCTTCGTCTAGCGCGCTGCGGTTGCAGCTGTAACTACAAGCTGCAGCTGTAGATTCGATTTAAAGCGATGGCGCAGCCGGGGAAGCAGTTGAGATATAGAAAATTCACGCGGAATACAGAGGAAGACCGGTGTTGGTTTTCGCTCTTATTATTCTCGCGTTAATCTTACCGCTCTTATTTTCTCGCGCACTTTTCTATTTCCCGATCGCTTCTCATGCACCTGCGCTATTAAATACCAAAAGGACGTTTGTAAGTTCCATTACGAAAAACATCGCTCCCCGGAGAATTACGCGTTCTTCATGATATTTTTAGAGGGATTATCGAGAAATCTCATG